CCCGCAGGGACTTCGAGCGAGCGGCGCGGCTGGGCAGCCCCTTCGCGCGGCGCCAGCTGGTGCTGCTCAACCCCTACGCCGCGCTGTGCAATCGCATGCTGGCCGACATGATGGGGCAGCTGCGCGCCCCCAGCAACGGGCGCTGAGCCGGGACGCCGGTGGGCGAGGGGACAGGAAGGGGGGCCTGAACCAATAAAGCTGCTCGGACCTGGCCGACTCCGCCTGCTTCTGCGTCGCGCCCACGCCCGGGGAGAAGGGCACTCAGGTGCACCTGCCCGGGCCGCCCTGGCGGGGGCGCGTCGAGCCGCGCTCAGCCATCGACTGGCCCTGTCTGGCGCAGCCCCCGCTCTTGCAGCGGACTGCGGCGCTCGTCAGACCTGAGCAGTTGCTCTGGCTGCGCCGGGGGAGGGAGCCAGGTGAGCTGCCTGGGGCGGGGGAGCGGGGCGGGATGCTTCGGCGACCCCAGCCTCCCCGTGTCGCTCCTGTTCGGCCCAGATCCACTCAAGCAGCCTGGATTGGGAAAGGGGCGTAGGGTGATGGGGCGGGAGAGAGGACGGGGGCGGGGGAAGGGCGGTCCCTTTGGGGGAGGAGCAGGTGTACACAGAGGGCCTGAGAGAGAGAGAGGGGGGTGGGGGGGCGTGGTGCGGCTGCACGCTTGCTCGTCGCTCCTGTGTATCTGCGGGTGTGTGCCTGTTGGTGCCCTCGAATCAGTGCTCAGTTCTGCGCCCGCAGGGTGACAGGTACCTGCCGGGTGAGTCTGTGACTTTGGGCTTTGTTGTTCGTGTCCGTGCCTTCGCCACTGTGGACCGGTCTACATTTGTGTTTCCGTGCATGGTTCTTTTTATTTATGGGGAGTGAATTCCTGGAGGGATTGCTCGGCCTGCCTGCTGTCACCTGGCTGACACCGAGGCCCGCCCCCTTCTCTCAGCAGCCTGGGGCCCAGGCCCGGGCTGCCATGGCGCTGCCTCCAGGCCCAGCTACCCTCCCGCACACACTGCTGCTCCTGCCAGCCCTCCTGAGCTCAGGTATACCCCTGTTCATTCCTTGACCAAGCACTCTGTCCCCTCCTTGCCTGCATCTTCCGTATGAGTATCCACTCTCAGCCCCAAGCTCCAGAGCTGGGTTTCCCTCACCCAACTTCCCTAGGTCCAGCCAATCCCTGGTGGGAGAACCCAGGTGTCCTATCTCTTGGCCTGCTGCCCCTCTGGAACTGGACCTCATCCTGGTCACAGAACAGTATCAATCTTCCCCCAGTCCTTCCCAGAGGCCCCCTGTTGTGTTCCAGGTTGCGGGGAGTTGGCACCACAAATTGATGGTCAGACTTGGGCAGAGCGGGCACTTCGGGAGAATGAGCGCCACACTTTCACCTGCCGGGTGGCAGGGGGGCCTGGTACCCCCCATTTGGCCTGGTACCTGGATGGACAACTGCAGGAGGCCAGTACCTCAAGACTGCTGACCGAGGGCGGGGAGACCTTCTCTGGAGGCACCAGCACCTTTACTGTCACTGCTCAGCGGGCCCAGCATGAACTCAACTGCTCCCTGCAGGACCCAGGCAGTGGCCGATCAGCCAATGCCTCCGTCATCCTCAATGTGCAATGTGAGTGCCCCTGAGGTGGGCAGTAAGGGAAATTCTCTGCCCAGGAACCCCCAGCAGCCCCAAGCAGGTGGTCAGCATTTAACAAGCACTTCAGCGCTTTGCAAATATGAACTCACTTTATCCTTACAATAATTCTATGAGGTAATTACTATTGTTATCCCCATTTTACAAATAGGAAAACTGAGGCACACAGAGGCTAAGCAATCTGCCCAAGGTCATACAGCTCTTAAGAAGCAGAACAAGGATTCAAGTCCATACACTTTGGCTCTAGTATTTAGGCTCTTAATCACTAGGAAATGCTGCCTCTCTGGCAGACCATCCTGTTGGGCCCCTATTCCCATCTGGGTTTGGGAAGAAAGGTTGGGGACTATGAGGAGCTGTGGTGAGAGCATATTGGCCTCTGTTTTGCACCAGTTAAACCCGAGATTGCCCAGGTTGGGGCCAAGTACCAGGAAACTGAGGGCCCAGGCCTCCTGGTTGTCCTGTTTGCCCTGGTGCGTGCCAACCCACCTGCCAATGTCACCTGGATCGATCAGGATGGGCCACCTCTGGTCAACACCTCTGTCAACACCTCTCACTTCCTGGTGCTGGATGCCCAGAACTACCCCTGGCTCACCAACCACACCGTACAGCTGCAGCTCCACAGCCTGGCACAGAACCTCTCAGTCTTGGCCACCAATGATGTGGGTGTCACCAGTGCCTCACTTCCAACCTCAGGTGAGCATTGCCAGCAACTGGCCCAGCAAAGCCTCAGGTGGGTGCAGGGGGCATGGTACAGAAATGGGAGGGCTTGTTGCCATTTGGGTGGGTCCTGTGGATGAACTGCCCCCAGCCACCTTGGGCAAGGAGGACAGAGTAATAATACCTATGGCATCTCAGGGTTGGGGTCACTGCCCGCTTGGAACCTAACCAGGGGACAACCTGCAGGGCTCCTGGCCACTCGGGTGGAAGTGCCACTGCTGGGCATTGTTGTGGCTGGAGGGCTTGCCCTAGGAACCCTCGTAGGGTTCAGCACCTTGGTGGCCTGCCTGGTCTGCAGGAAAGAAAAGAAGACCAAAGGTAAGACCAGGGATGTTAGGGAGCAGAGGGTGGCTGGGAGAATGAGGTAGAGGTGGGCAGCAAGGGCAGCAAGTGGAGCTGGGCAGAACAGGTTGTGTGTGACAGGTGTCAGCCCACTTCCCAGGTGTGGCCAGGTGTGGCTATCCCAGGTAGCAGGGTCAGGTACTGAGAACCAGTCTGGTCCCAGGGCCGGGGCTGGGCATTTGAGAGACTCCCTTAACTGAGGGTCTTGGGTCTGGGTCTGAAAGGTCAGGGGTGGAGTGCAGCATGAGTGGGCACACTGAGAATCAGCGGCATGCTTTCTTTCTCTTCAGGCCCCTCCCGGCGCCCATCTCTGATCTCGAGGTAACTCTTCCTGGGACTGGGTGGATGGGCTGAACCGAAATGCAAGAAGGGGACAGGTGGGAACCTGGGGTTTCCGGTAGGTCTGGAACAGGCACCAAAGCAGGAACCTGGACCTGCTGGTGCCGGGGCATATCCCAGCCTTTGTCTGCCTTGTAGTGATTCCAACAACCTGAAATTGAACAACGTGCGCCTGCCACGGGAAAACATGTCCCTCCCGTCCAACCTTCAGCTCAACGACCTTACTCCAGATTCCAGAGGTATATGCAGGACCCTGCTGTTTGCTCCTGCTTTATCTTGAGAAGTGCTTCTGAGAAAAAGATCCGAGCACTTAGGAAGTGGTGGTCCCTATCAGGCTCATTCCTTGTCCTGGGCACTGCCCCCTTTGTCACCTAGCAGGGAGAACAGCAGACCGGCAGATGGCTCGGAACGACAGCCAGCCAGAGCTTCTGGACCCAGAGCCCGGCGGCCTCCTCACCAGCCGAGGTACTGGGAAGGGGCCTGCTGCCCTCCTCCTCTGCTCCCAGCCTTTGTGCTTGTGCCAAAGGCCTTGAGTCCCAGAGGGGCAGAGAGGGCTCTCCCAACTTCTAAGGAACGGAGTTACTGAATCCCTTGGGCATCTCTGACCCCACAGGCTTCATCCGCCTCCCGATGCTAGGCTACATCTATCGAGTGTCCAGTGTGAGCAGTGACGAGATCTGGCTGTGAGCTGACGGTGAGACAGGGGTGACCTCTTGGCTCCTGGGCACCCCTGGGTGCCATCCCACACCTCCTCCAAGGCATCACTGCCACTTTTTCTTGCCCTCCTGGCTGGGGAGCCCTCTGTGTCATACACATGATGCATTTCACTGTGGCACAGGTGTCCTTGGCAAGGCTGCCAGCTGGACCTAAGTCCCTCATGCTAATTCAGGTTGGGGGCCTGCATGTGATGACTGGGCCAGGCAGATGGAGCTCTTTGACCAGATGTGTTCAGATGTCATCCAGCATCCCAGTGTGGCGTGGCCACACCAGTACTCCTCAGCACCTGTACAGTAGGCATGGGGGCATGCCTGCTCGGGGAACAGGGAGGGCCCTGCACGCTTTGGATTTCCTTCCTATGCTATGCAGCTTTGTTCCCTCAGGGAAAATTTAGAACCCTGCTAGCTGTATAGAACTAAACTGCCCTTTGCACAGGAACCAACCCCCAGCCTGGGGCACTGGCCAAGCACAAACTGTCCCTTTTGCTGTGTACCTCTCTGCCCTTCTCTGTTCTCTCTGCCTCTGCCTCCTCTTGGACATCATAGATTATACATTGGACCTTCTCCACTTCTACACTGGGCACTAGACTTCTCTACTGGCCTGGCCCTGGCAGTGCAGTGCCTGGCTTTAGCACAGGTCAAGGTGGAAGAGTGAGGTGATGAGTTTGGTGACTCCCAGGACAGCATGTAGCTCTGCATCATTTTCTTACAGTCTTAGCACTTTAAGCACATCCCCTGGGGGAGGGGGTGAGTGAGGGGCCCAGAGCCCTCTTCATGGCTTCCCCAAGTTTGGCCTTCCTATGATTCACTGTGAGTGTCCTGAGCCCTCAGGATTGACGGTTTCCCTCTCAGCATGTCTCCTCTACCATGGGACCCCAGCCCTGACCAGCCCCTGGCTGTCCTGTCAGCAGGAAGCCGTTCCTCCTGCCCCACTCTCAGTTCTTGAAGGAATGGTGACAGCGGGCACATTATTTGACAGTGCCAGGAGTCTTAGGGGAACATGGAGAAAGAAGGAGAGCACATACCCCCAAACGATCTAAGAACACTTTAAAAAGCAACATGGAAATGAATGCAAATTAATATAGTACAGAGTATATTTTTCCCTTGTTGATATCTTGTTTTGTAATTCTTCTCATGTTACTGCCTAGGACAGTGCTGAGCACACAGTAAATTCAGTAAACTTGACTGAAGGAATTTACATGTCTCTGCTTCATTTCTTCAAATATGTTTTTTAAACAAAATCTTTAAATCACAGAGTAGACGGGTTGGCCCGTGGCTCACTTGGGAGAGTGTGGTGCTGATAACACCAAGGCCACAGGTTCGATCCCTATATAGGGATGGCCAGTTAGTTCACTTGGGAGAGTGTGGTGCTAACAACACCAAGTTAAGGGTTAAGATACCCTTATTGGTCATCTTTTAAAAAATAATAATAATAATAATAAATAAATAAAATCACAGAGTAGAGAAAATATAGCAAGCACCTGTGTACCCACCACTCAACTCTGTTGAATCTTAACATTTTACCAAATTTGCTTCAGATTTACATGATGGTTCTCTATTTCCTGGGAAGGAACACCAGTTTTTAATATACTTCACCTAATCTTTAATCTTTACCTTATAATAATAGGCAGGTCATTTGTCACCTTAAATCCAAATGTACAGCAGTCCAATATGTGGGTGGCCACAGCTCAGGCTGAATTTTCCCACCTGGACTATGCTTTACTGAAGTCCTCCAGACACAATAGACGGTTTAGTAAGGACTTGTGAAAATTAACATCCAACTCTGTGTAGTGCTGGTGGGAATGCAAAGTGACACAGCTGCTGTGGAAGACAGTATGGAGGTTCCTCAAAAAGTTAACACAGCATTACCAAGTGATCCCGCAATTCCACTTCTGGGTACATACTCAAAAGAATTGAAAGCAGGAACTCAAACAGTTATTTGTGCACCAGTATTCAAGCAGTGTCATTCAAAATAGCCAAGAGGTAAAAATAATCCAAATATCTACTGACAGATGAATGGATAAACAAAGTGTGTATATATGCAAAATGGGATACTAAGCCTTAAAAAGGGACAAAATTCTGATAAATGTTATAACACAGATAAACCTTGAAAACATTATGTTAAGGGAAATAAGCCACGCAAAAGGACAAATATTGTATGATTCCACTTCTGAGGTTCCTGGAGTAGTCAAACTCAGAGACAGAAAGCAGAATAGTGGTTACCAGGGACTGAGAGTAGGTGGAGGTTGGGAGTTATTGTTTAATGGGTACAAACTTTTAATTTGGGATGATGAAAAAGTTCTGGAGCTGAATAGCGGTGATGCTGCACAACACTGAATGTACTTAATGCGACTTTAATTGTACACTTAAATATGGTTTAAGTGGTGAATTTCATGTTATATATATTTCTATTTTTAATTTTGGTTACTGATACAATCTCATAAGTCTTTTCAGATTTTCTAGTTCTTTGTGATTCAGTCTTGGTAGGTTCTGTGTTTCTATGAATTTGTACGTTTCATCTAGGTTATCCAATTTGTTGATGTACAATTGCTCAGTACTCTCTTGTTTTAGTCCATTTTGTGTTGCTATAACAGAATTACCTGAGACTGGGTAATTTATAAAGAAGAGAGGTTTATTTGGCTTATGATTCTGGGACAGCTGCATCTGGCACAGGCCTCAGGCTGCTTCTACTCATGGCGGAAAGTGGCAGGGAGCCAGCGGGTACAAGCAGATCACATGGTGAGAGGAAGCAAGAGAGAGAGAGAAGGTGCCAGGGTCTTTTTAAGCATTGAGCTCTCGCAGGAACTAATCGAGCGAGAACTCACTCATTAATCCTCCTCCACCAGGGAGAGCATTAATCCATTCATGAGGGATCCGCCCCCATGACTCAATCAGTTTCCAACACTGCCACACTGGGGATCAAATTTCCACATGAGTTTTGGAGGGGATGACACATCCAAACCCCATCATCTCTCATCCTTTTTATTTCTATAGAATCAGTAGTAATGCCCCCACTTTCATTTCAGATTTTAGTTATTTGTCTTCTTTTTTTGTTAGATATTCTAGCTAAAGGTATTTCAATTTTGTTAATCTATTCGGAGTCAACTTTTCATTTTATTTTTAAATTGTTTTTCTATTCTCTTATTTATTTCTGCTCTGTCTTTATTTCCTTCCTTCTGCTAGATTTGGGTTTACTTGGTTCTTTTTCTAGTTCCTGAAGTTGTAAACTTTATTTTAGATCTTTCTCCTTTTTTAATATAAACATTTATAACTATAACTTTCCCTCTGAGCACTGCTTTTGCTGCATTCTGTAAGTTTTGGTATGTTGTGTTTTTTCATTTGTCTTGTAAGTATTTTCTAATTTCTCTTGTGATTTCTTCTCTGACCTACTGTTGGTTTAAGAGTATATTGCTTAATTTCTACAAATTTGTGTATTTTCCAGTTTTTCTTTTTTTTTTTTTTCCTTTTTGTCTATTTTTTCGTGACCGGCAACAGATCGCAACCCTCGGTGTTGCTCCCGCACCTCGCTCAGCCAGTGAGTGGCCGGTCTGTATGTGGGATCCGAACCCTCGGTGGGAGCGCCGCCGCGCTTCCCAAGCGGCGCACTGTAGCATTGCACCACCGGGCCGGCCCCTACAGTTTTTCTTATAACTACTTAACTTCATCCCATTGTGGTCAGAGAAAATACTTTGTATATCTATCTTTTTAAATCTATTGAGACAATTTGTGGCCTAACACATGGTCTATCCTGGACAATATCCCATGTGTACTCAAGAAGAATGTGTATGCTGTTGTTGTTGGATTGAGTATTCTATTAGATCTAGTTGGTTTGTGTTGTCTTCTGTCTCCTTATGTCTGGTTGTTACTGTGTGCACACATACACAGAAATGAGACAACGAAAACTGATTGGAAGTTGATGTGTAAGGAAGGACATAAACATTTGCTTAAAGAACCCCTAATTGTCAGAATCTGTAGATCTCTTCTCCTTGCCTGATCAGTTTCCTGGTTTCTTCCAGTATTTTGCTTTGGAGGTATAAGCTAGGAAGAGGGCTGAGGATATCATGCTCATTCCTTTATTTAATCCTCTTATATTAAATATGGCCCCTTCTATCTTTATAGTCACTTGGAATTCTCACATTCATAGTCTTCATAGTCTCCTTGGCTCAAAGGTGTCCATCTTCTGTTGGGGTAAGGAGGTGGGTGGCACAGGTGGGGAAGGTTCTGGGGACCTACTTATACAAACCTTCAATCAATCCTCCTGTTTTCAGCCCCACCCTGCACACTTGCCATCAGAAACATCTGACACTTTCCATTCCTGATCCTTTCCAGAATTTCTGCAAAGTCAAATAGCTTACTTCTTACTGGCTCTCAGGCCCTCTCCTCCACAGGCAGTCAGATTCCAGGGTTTTTTCCTCCCCCCTGCTAAATCAATTACCACTTGTCCATCTTCCAAAATTATGTTGCTATCTAGTCTACCAGCATTTTCTTTCCTATTATCTGTCCTTACTGTTTTTTGCCTTTTGTTTTTTTATTCCTATAATCATTTTAGTAAGATTAGAGAAGGGAGTGAAGATGTAAATACTTGTGTCCATTTTTATTTGGAGGTGTCACGAGCCTAGGATCAGCAGAGAAGAGGAGGGACACCTCCAGCCTACATAAAAGTTAGAACTCATGACTTGGCTGGCCGGTTAGCTCAGTTTGTTAGAATGCAGACTTATAACCTCAAGGTCACAGGTTCAGACAGCCACAAAAATAAAAATATAAATTTTAAAAAAAGAAGTGAGGGGAGAGTGATCAGTTACCTAATTATCCTGTTTGGCAGGTTGTATTGCTGGTGGGTGAGAGCAAGCACCTCCTTTAAAAAAAAAAAAAAATTCATGATCCACGTGTACAGCATAGCAAGCAGATTGGCTTTGCAGTTCACATCTGGGTATTAAGGAAGACGAGGATCTTGGGATAGGGAGAGAGTATTCTTAGAGATAAGTTGGTGTTCATTATAACTGTTTTAAAGCTGGATCGTCTAAGGCATAGGTTAACTGACTTTTGCTAGGGCCACAGGAGTAAGTAGCCAAAAGGGAATAACTCGAGACTGGTGAAGAGGAGACAGGAGCCCTGATGAGAACAATGCCTGAACACAATCTCTGGAGAGCCAGGGTGGACGTGCTGGGGCGAGAGGAGCTGAAAGGCCCACACCTCAACCAGGAACTTAGGAAGTACTGCTGATCGTTATTGTTTACAGATTCTATGAGTCCACCTACTTGCAAAAATTTATTTGTAATCCCAAAATCACTACCTGTGGTATTTTCAAGGTCATTTTCGGACATGCTCAGAGAAGCAAAAACTTTGAGTTGCCTGATGCCCATCTCCAGCTGAGGCTGAACAACGTGATGCTCTGCCTTTTTGTTTCAACTCTCATGGTGTAAACAAGCGTCTTTTTTGCAGTCTATATAGTGCCACATTTTTTTACATTTCTCTTGTGATTTTACTATTTAAAATGGTCTCCAAGTGTAATGCTGAAGTGCTATCTCATGTTCCCATGCGTAAGAAGGTTGTGATGTGCCTTATGGAGATTGTCTGGGCATGGTTTATGGTGCTGTTGGCTGTAAGTTCTCAGTGGATTAGGGGTCGGTGGACAAAATGTTATGACCAGAGGCACACAGGAATCTAAGCCTGTATTTCCTCTAGGAGCAATGGTTCAGTATCTGCTAACTCAGTGTTTGCGGTGACTTTATAGAATTAAGTACCGTAAATAAAGAGAATCGACCACATTTATTAGTGCTGAATCTCGGCTCTAGCCAAGAAGGCAATCTGATTGGTTCCTGAAAGCGTAATAAAGCACTTGAGCTCCTATTGAATTTTGCCTCCCTTCATTCCCTGAGTCAAATGTGAGCATTAATGGTGCCCATTTGAGAGCAGAGCACCTGGACCTGATATATCAAAGTAAGGCCTGAGCTCAGAAGTGACTGCTCCTCAAACTCAAGAGTGATGTGATCATAGTTGGTTTTAAGAAACAATTCCTTTCCTGTCCGATGTGTTTACTGTGTACATATTAGGCTGGCGGTGTAGCACTTAAATGTAATCTTCCCCGCCAATCATTTTTTGCCCCACATCCCCCCCCATATCAGTACTTGGCCCCATTATCCATTCAGTTGCTCAAGCCAAAAAATCCTGGGAATCACTCTTGATTTCTTTCCTTCCATCCCCCACATTCCCTCTATCACCAAGTTCTGCTGGTTCTACCTCTATTATTATATTATCTCTCAGCCCCACACCTTCCCTTCTAGACTCTGCTTTGTACTGCTGCATTTTCCAGATTCCCTGGTCAGCTGTTAACTTCTGCCAGTGGGAGGCACTGGCAGGAGATGAGAAGGTGGAGAAAGGAAGCAGCAGCCACAGCTCTCAGTCACTGTAGTGGGACTGCGGTGGGAGCGAGGGCCTGAGTGTGGCACCTCCTCAGCCATGCACCACCTGGCCACAGCAGCACCTCTTTTGCTGACAGCACCTGCAAGGGGTAACACTCCTTTTTGACCTTTATGTTCCTTCAGTCCCCTCCATTCTCCCTTCTGCTCCTTTCCAACACTTTGGTAACCAATTTCCTATGTTAAACGCTCTTTGTTAGAAACAATTGGCATAGTTTCAGATTTCCTGACTGGAGCTTAGCTGATAGAACTCCAAAATATTTCCTGAATCCGTCCATCTCTACTACTACCACAACTACCACCCTAATGCAAGCCACAATTCCTGTCTCACCTGGATTACTGCAATAGCTAGGCCCCCTGAGACCACAACCAGGCAGGTCTGGAGGAAGACAGGCAGGTTGCCCATAAGGAAGGCAGCATTTACTGGAAAGAGATACCTAGAAAAATTAAATTCTGGGAGAAAAATGATTCCTCTCTCCGGCCAATCTTAAAGGATTGGGGTTTATTTTTATTTTTATTTATTTATTTTTTTTTTCGTGACCGGCATCGGATCGCAACCCTCAGTGTCGCGCCCGTACCGGACCGGGACCGGCAACGGGATCGCAACCCTCAGTGCTGCCCCCGCTCCTCGCTCAGCCAGTGAGCGGCCGGTCTGTATGTGGGATCCGA